GTTGCATAAATAATACTGTTTCTCTACATTCGAATACGCCTTTAATTTTTATTTTTCTTCTTTAACTAAAATTGTGGTTATACATTTAAAACATCTAACATATTATTTTCAACAAAAGTCCGTAAAAAGTTCTTCATATATCGCTGCCGATTCTGACGTGATGTCCGGCGAAAATATTTTGCGGACAGACAGAGAGAGAGAGAGAGAGAGAGAGAGAGAGATGTGCGAACGTGGGGATTTATATATTAGGATACTAGCCGTCCCGGCCAGGCCCTGCTCTGGCTTCTGTGAAAAACCTTTCTGTTAAAGACCATTACCTGTGTGTTTAGTAATCATCATAAACCCGGCATTGCCCACCCAAACCACAACCAACCAAAACAACAAAACGCAAACATAACGCTAACACAATTACAAATACAAACGAAAACAAAAACCTAACAACCAACCCAACCACAACCACAAACACCAATACAAACACAAAGAAAAAACAAACAAAAAAGCAAACGAAAACAAAAACCTAACAACAAACCCAACCACAAACACCAATACCAAAAAAAAAAACAACAACGAAAAAGCAAACGAAAACAAACCAAATCCAAACGCAAAACCAACCAAAAACACAAATACAAACCCAAACAAAAAAAAACACAAACAAAAACGAAAAAAGAAAGAACAAAAACGAACCAAATCAAAACGAAACCACTAACGCAAACCCACCTAAACACAAAGAAAACACTAACGCGAATATAAACGCCCGGGGCGGAATCACCTGTTTTAGCTTAATGAACGACTGTAGTACCCCAACTTATTCATAGTCTTTTGCACTCACTTAAACGAACGCGCCTGTTTCAATTTAATGAACAATTTTAATACTCCAAGCTTATCCGTAAAATACCAACAACATTTGCACTTGATCAATCCCCGCTAATTATGTAATTTTTTTTTTCCCAACACCAAAAACAAAGTAATTAAAAAGTAAATTATTTTCCACAAAATGCAATGGTTTTATAAAGGGAAGTAATTTTGTTTTCCTAATTTATCAAAGGGAAGTAAGTGCTATAGGACTAAATAAAGACATAATTAGAATTTTTGTAAAAGATGATATTTTTTTAAAACTTGTATGTAATGAACATGCCGACAATTATTACTATAATTTGAAAAATGAAAATTATTTCCCAACACTTTCAACAGTAATTTTTTAGCTCATAAATTTAGACAAATGCGCACGATAATTTTCTAACACTTAAATTCATCCAAGACCAACGACAAAAACATATGCATTACATACAGAACTGAGCTTTATATATTAAATTCGAGAAAGTTTAGGGGAGATCACTCCCGGTTTATTTATTTGGCGTTCACTTGGTGTGCAATTAATTTGTCTACGAGATTTTATTCTATTTTTAAAACTTTAAGTATTTAAAATGGATTAAAAATCATGTCTATAGCCCGAGTTCCCATCCCCTGTTATTTTATATAAGAATATTCGAGAAAGTTTAGGGGAGATCACTCCCGGTTTATTTTTATCTTACCTCTTACTTCGCGCACATACGTTAGCAGCTTGTGGTTTAAGTCTTAAAGTCTAGTGTGGTATAAACAGAATACAAAAAGACATTCACGTGAAAATATACCATGTTAAACCACATGTTCTGAAAGCGTCGAAGTCTAGCAATCATTGGCCAATTTAGTTTCTGTAATGATTCATTAGTTTTAGGCCTGTCGTAATCGAAATTATTTCGCCATCCATGTATTTGTGACAGCTGCTTTGTGATTGGTCAACCTGACACGTCCTAAGCAGAAAAGTTAGTTAGTCTCCAAAGTACACAGTCCACATAACAGAATCTAAGTTTGTTTTAGGATGTAACGTGAGTAGTGTTTCATGCTGCGGTCAAAGAAATGGAGAAACTCTACTTTAACTGCTATATCTCCCGCCTAGTTTAAATGGAGTCAGGCGGAGTCAGTGACAGTAGGACATACGGAGTCAGTGACTCAATGGAACAGGACGAGTCATTGACTCAGTAGGACATAAGCAGCTCTGGATTGACTCAGCTTGTTCACATGTCTAGCATAATAAAAAATATATATACTACAAGCTTTAAAGTTAGCTTTTGGATGATTTCAACAAATGATAGGAAACTATTTAATCTTTAGAGACAAGCGGGTTTAATGACCAAGGGTGCTCAACGGATACATAAATATGTGTTTAATATATATATATATATATATATATATGTATGTTTTTTTGTTTTTAGACAGTGTAAAAATATAACAGGAAGTTGATATTTACATTCTAAAACACTATTGATATATTTCTTCATTAGGCAGACCATCATTTTGTAATTAACACCAGAACATATTTAAAAAAACAAAACAACTTCAGGCTTAGAAATAGGATGTAAATGATGGTTCATGTTAGTGTCACAACTAGGATACGAGCGCACGGAAGGATTTGGGGGGGGGGGGGGGGACTGTCTTCATATGGTTTGTGCATGTTCTTTTAAAAAAAATCATTACCGTTTTCTTCCTTTTAGTCAAGCACACAGAGACACGCAAATAAACGGCAGACTTCTGTACGCGAGATTTCTGTTTTAAAAAAAATCATGGCAGGCTGTACTCGGCTGTGTCAGGGGGAACAGACACCCCCGGGGCAGGGCTGATAATTACACACCGGACGATTAGACCTACTCCCAGCATCGTCCCCTCCCCCCCCCCCCCCCCCTGCTTCCCAGCGCGCGCAGACTGTGTGACACGGGCTAGACAACAACAAACCCTGAACACGTCTCCATGTTTCCCGCGGTCGTCAAAAAGAACAAAAATTTCAAAGAAACGGTCCGACTTTTAAACATTTTTTATCCCCATTTAACACATACAATTAAATACATACTTAGATTTAAACAGCGAGATACACAAATAACAAACATCTAGAAAAGTGGATTTTTAAAAAAAAGTTTCTATTTTTAGACGTCTTCCATTGTTCCGTGTAATCGCTGAATTGATTTTTTTAACAGACTGGAGACTAGCGCGCTATTAGGGGATTCCCGTCGTCTTTAACACTAGAAACATCAGCGGCAATATTTAGAGTTGTAATTTCATCAAATGCGGGTAGGACATTGATTTTTTTTTTTGCCTGTCCTAATTGATTTTTATTTTATTTGTGTTTTTTATTTAGCAATCTTTATTAAAGCAAAGAGCATCAACGTAGGTTAGTTATGAATTGCTAGAACATTTAAATGTAAATCGTCATAATTTTGGATCAGAAGTCAGAAAAACTGGGGTCATTTAAGGATGGGTTTATGTATACAAGGTTCATGTAAACCTATGTTGTGTGTTGTTAAGGGATTGTCTATAACGTACGGTAAAGAAGGTTCATTTTGATATAAGCTATACAAGGTCATCTATGTATTGTGCTATAGAGGTCATGTGGGGTGTATGCTATAAAGGGGTTGTCTATGTTGTGATAAGGGGTCTTCCATACTGTAAGACATGGTTTATGTAGGTATACGTTACTAGCGATTCAGTTCAGAGTATTAGGCCTAATCATAATATACAGTAACGAACACTGCATTACCCACTAGATCTAGTATCTACGTACAAAGCAGTTCAACTCATGAAATAATTACCACAAGTTTTGTTAAAATCTCTCACCTAATTGTAACTTGGGTGGTCGGTGAGGGGGGGGGGGGGGGAAGTGGTGGTAGAAAGCGACGCCATTTTGTCCCAACACGTGCTTCAACTCACACAGGCCACAAAACACGCACGTGACAAAGTTACCAAAAAAATATCCCCCAGGTAAGCAAGAAGTTAGCCGGTCACGTGATAGCCGTCAAGCAGTATAAGAACAAACGTGTGACGGTACCCACAGGTAGGTAGTACGCAAACATCGATCTGGGAGGTAATCGATCACGGGGCACGTTCGATCTAGTGTGGCTGGTGAGCACTTCGTGGGTGTGACCTCACGCACGTGCGGAGCTGGACGTGCGCGCGTTTGTTGGCACGTGCATTGGTGGTCACATGCTGTGGCATCTTAACATCAGGATGTGTCTACATCTGTGTGACATCAGGATGTTTCTATAGATGTGTGTGTAGATCTGTGACATCAATATGTGTCTATGTGTAACATCGATGTTTTTATATATGTAACATCAGGATGTGTATTGTTGATGTGTGACATCAAGATGTCTGTTGATATGTGACATCAGGATGTGTCTTGTTGATGCGTGACATCAGGATGTGCCTATGTGTTTTGTTGATGTATGATGTCAGGATGTGTTTTGTTGATGTGTGACATCAGGATGAGTCTGTATATATGTGATATCAGGATGTGTTTCAAAAACATCAAGATTACCAGTGTATGTGTGCTTCAGGGTGTGGTTGTATAATATAACATTAAATTTCATAATATAACATTAGAACGTATGATATAACATAAGACTGTATAACATAACATTATGATGTGTATCTGGATGTGTGTAACAATTTTTATGCAGATGTATAACAAGTTGTGATATTTTAGCCTCATGATATTTCATTTCTCATGATATATTACATCGGTATATACCTGCAGATAGATTTTACCATCAGGATTTCTGAAGATGGGGGTCATTAGCGCCATATGTATATGTATACATATTCCTATATTATAGTTCTCTTCTTGTCATCATTAACATCATGATGTTTTCAGGTGTATGCCATTAAACACATCTACAGAACGATGTCTATTAATTAAGAAAGATAATTAAGATCAGGAATCGTCAGAGTGGTTGAGGTTATCTTGATACTTTGCACACCACTGCAATGTGCTATGACATACTTTTACAAGGTGCTATGACATGACACACTACTGGAACGTGCTAAAAATGACATGACACACTACTGGAACGTGCTAAAAATAGGCCATGCTAACTTATCCATCTAGCCAAACTACTTAGCAAAACCATATAAACACCAATTAAACACTAAAACTTCTAGTGTTAGAATTAAAAAAGAAAAAAAACATGATCTGTTGTGTTACCATAAATTTAATTAATCGTTTCTCATCATACCTCAGACACATAAGAACATCTGGTAGAACTATACAAGTATTTACAATCAGACAATATTTTCAAACAGTATGGTGAGCCATCGGACCATTTTCTCACATTTGACAATATTTTCAAACAGTATGGTGAGCCATCGGACCATTTTCTCACATTTGACAACAAAATTGAGAATAACAAGGCTTTGAATTATTGGTGACATAAAGTCATACAATATGACTTCATGCCAAATAAATGAAGTCACATCAACGGAAATAATGACAAAAACATAAAATCAAACAATTAGACTTGATGCCAAATACAATAAGTCAAAGAAATTGACTTACTGCCGCAGACATAAAATCAAATTAATTGACATCATGTCAAAGAGATAGTTACATAAAATGACTTATGACAGAGACCAAGTCATATAAATTGACTTAATGCTGATGATACTAAGTCACATAGAAGTGCTGCTTGTTTCATGTTTACAAACACATTTTTTTTTCAAACTTAATTAAGTTAATATTATTTTTAAAAAATAAATATAAAACAATAGCCTTAATTTAATATAAACAATTCACTTAATCATAGTTTTTCACATGGGAGTTTTAGCTTTTGAAATAAGTTGAGTTTAAAAAAAAATTAAAATGACTAAACAAGTGTTGAGTAGAACTTGGGAACTAAAACAAGCTTTGTTGTTGCTAAATATTTATGTGGAGATCACAGACTTAAGTCGTTTTTTGGAAGAAATATTTATCACTGAACAAAGCTGTTTCATTCAAACAGCTTTGTTATAGTTTTCGCAATACCATTTGTTGTCAATTTGTTTTTGGTTTAGTTGAAATAAAAAAATTAAAACAATAAACAAACAAACAAACAAATAATCAAACAACTGACCAATGGTCATCAAAACATGGACACTGATAACATGCAGTGATGATATAGACATCTTGATGATACGTGAGATGATACTGATGATAATTTACAATGATAACAATATAAATTTATATATTAACATTTTATAACGAAGAAGTAATTATGATAATTAAGATGATTACCCGGTTCTTTACCCATGCCTTAACTTGCCTAATTAGTTTCAAAGTTTTTTATTTAAGAGGGAAAAGTTTTTATTTACAAAATATTCGAATACAAGCGAAAACATTTGTAAATAACTTATTTTTGACTTCCTTCACACAGTCAAGGGCATTCACTCTGCTGCCTCAAACAAAGGGCATTCACTCTGTTATTTTAGAAAGGGCATTCACACTTTTCTTTCTTTTTTTTTCATTCATAATCATCAAATACATACTCAATCAGTCAAGTAACTATCCCTAATATCAAACACATTTCCGTTTAATCTCCCAAATTGAAATAACATGACTTTTTATGACGTTGTAATTTGTAAGTTATCGGAATTTTTGTTTAGTAAATGCATGAATTATCATAGGGGGATAATGCACAGCCTTAGAATATGATGACGGTAGTTTTTTTTCCCCTAATGATGAAACAAGTCTTCGTAGGATCCAGGGTAGACTGGGGTCCTATGTAGGCGACCCGGGTAAACTGGGATTCTACGTAGGTGACCCGGGTAAAATGGGGTCGTACGTAGGGGACCCGGGTAAACTGGGGTCGTACGTAGGTGCCCCGGGTAAGCTGGGTCGTTGTGGAACAACTGACCTAATACTCATTTCAAAAAGGTCAATTCCAAAAGGGCAACCTGTTGAATCGCAGCATATGTACTCCACATAGACGAATGCTGCTGGTGATGTTGATATGCTTCCAAGCATGTGTCCAATGCTTCAAGCGGTAGGTATTCTTCATTCATGACTTGATCGTCTGTTAAATTTTACAGAATTTCTGGCAGGTAGCTAAACGCTGCGCTGTTAGGACTAGAAGAAAAGGGTGCCATTGTTGTAGAATCTATGGAATTCTAGAGTGAGGATTTAAAAATAATCTTATTAATCTGTATATACACATTTAGAAGTAATTCCCGCCGTGAAAGTTGCTGCGAGAATTCGCGAAATGCTTGCTGAGAATTAATATTTAATGTAAGCAATTACATTTGAGAATCCTAAAAAGTGGGCTTTCTGCGCTTAAGTCCGTGGGCTTTCTAGGGGCTGGTCATGCGTGGTGAAAATATAATTCCTGAGAGGGTGCAAGTGCATTATGTCGTCGTCTGCTGGTGACGCTCGCCACTTGACCTGACGTCTGCGTGAGTAGGACCAGCGTGTCACGTGTCGTAAACAACGCCGCGGCTTCTTGAGAAATGCGAGTCCAGTGACGTCAGAGGTTAGAGGTCAGAGTGGGATAGATGTTTCCATACCAAGAAATGTAAACACACAAAAAAGCACCTTATAGTAATGAGTTCACTTTATAATGCAGTAAAACCCATTTTTTTTTCTTAAAAAAAAGGGAACGTTTTATTTTTAAATACCATTTTAACTTGACCAATCAGCGTTGAGAGAAATGTCACACATGACTAAGTGGGTGTGGCTTGGCCGGCTGGTAGTTTGTGTTCGTGTACTTCCGGTTGTGGTAGTTGCTCTTGTTGCAGAGCTTGCCGTAGAACAGCTTCCGCCACGAGTCCACGGTCTTGCCGGACCAGATCCAGAAACCGGAAGTGGTGCCGATGACCAGACACATGAAATACTTCAGCATGAAGACGGTGTAGTTAGGCTCGGCGGGCTGGTCGTAGCACGTGTGAGTCCGGGTCGCCTCCCACCTCTCTCTCATCTGCTGCTCGTAGAAGTAGCAGGCGATGACGATGGAAGCCGGCACCGTGTACAGAACCGTGAAGACCCCTATCCGGATCATCAGCCGCTCAAGTTTGTCCGTTTTGCCGCGGCCCTGTTGTTTTATCACTTTACGAATCCGGAAAAGTGAAACGAATCCGGCTAGGAGAAAAGACGCGCCGATGATGAGGTAGACGAATAGAGGAGCCAACACGAACCCGCGCAAGTTGTCCAAACTCTGGTTCCCAACGTAACAGATCCCAGCGATGGGGTCGCCGTCAACAGAAGACATAGCCAACACAGCTATGCTTTTAACACTGGGGATCAGCCAGGCAGCTAAATGGAAATACTGGGAATAACTAGCGATGGCTTCCTGACCCCATTTCAACCCCGCCGCCAAAAACCAGGTGAAGGATAAAATCACCCACCAAATCGACGACGCCATCCCGAAGAAATACACCAACAGAAACACCACAGTGCATACAGCTGGTCCTGTTGTCTCGTACCGGATAATCCCGTTCTCGCAGGCGACATTCTCGTGGCCCACGATAAGCCGGATGATGTAGCCGACGCTGACCATGAAGTAGCACGCGCTGAGGAAGATGATGGGCCGCTCGGGGTACTTGAACCGCTTCATGTCCACGAAGAAGGTGGACACCGTCATGGAGGTGCTGATGCAGCACAGGATGGACCACAGCCCCACCCAAAAGGTGGTAAAGGTCTTCTCGTGCTCGGAGAAGTAAGGGCCGTAGCAGTTGATGGCACAGTTCACGACACCGCCCGTACGGAGTTTGTTGAAGTAGCTGCTAGACGACTCACTGATCATCTGGGGATGGGAGATAAGAGACGTTGTAAGTAAATATAAGAGACGTTATAAGCAAATATAAGAGACGTTATAAGCAAATATAAAACACGTTATAAGCAAGTATTAGAGACGTTATAAGCAAATATACGAGACGTTATAAGCAAATATAAGAGACGTTATAAGCAAATATAACAGACGTTATAAGCAAATATAAGACACGTTATAAGCAAGTATTAGAGACCTTATAAGCAAATATACGAGACGTTGTAAGCAAATATAAGAGACGTATAAGCAAGTATAAGAGACGTTATAAGCAAGTACAAGAGACGTTATTAGCAAATATAAGAGACGTTTTAAACATATATAAGAGACGTTATAAGCAAGTATAAGAGACGAGAGACGTTATAGGCAAGTGTAAGAGACGTTGTAAGAAAATATAAGAGACGTTATAGGCAAGCGTAAGAGACGTTGTAAGAAAATATAAGAGACGTTATAAGCAAATTTAAGAGACGATATAAGCAAGTGTAAGAGACGTTGTAAGCAAGTGTAAGAGACGTTGTAAGCAAATACACGTGACCTTATAACTATTATAAGCAAATATAAGATACGTTATAAGCAAATATAAGAGATGCAATATAAGCAAGTTTAAGAGACGTTATAAGGAAATATAACCATCTAAAACTATCATTTGAAGAGGATAGCTCATGTTAATGTGCTGAAGAAGGTTAGGATCCTCTGAAGAGGACTGCTCACGTGAATGTACTGAGTGAAGGTGTACATGTACTGAGTGAAGGTATATTAGTACTCACCATCAGAGGCTTCTCACACACGCGCGTGCACTCCTTGGCCGGGGAGGTCGAGTGGAGCTCATCCACCGGCAGGGGTCTGGGACCGTTGCTGGGCTTGGGTGGGTAGGGCGGGGGTCTCTTGTCGCGGTCTGAGGGCTTGTTGGTGGGCGGGGTGGGCTTGTTGTGGGCCGGCATGGCCGTATTCCGGTCCGTGGTGTTGGCGTCCATACACAGGACCTCCTTGTCGCCGTACTCGGGCAGGTCCTCGCACTTCATTCGGTCCGGCCAGTTGAACCCGTACTGCCTGGGGATGAGAGGGGAGGATGAATTTTTTTTTAATTTGTGAAATAAATTGTCAAGCCATCGACACCTGCAGAGCAATTCAAATCGGACTGTTGTTCCTTATATCGCCCAAACAAGTTTATACAGTAAAAACCCAATTTGCTGCGGAAAGTCCTAATAAATAATAAACTTATTTATTTATGACTTAATTTGCAATAGTAAAACAATCACCATAACTGTGAGTTCTTTATGTAGTATTTTACAAACCAAATTACCGCTCCGTTGCTAGCTGGAGTATCAATAAAATAGTTAATTTCGGAATAATAAAACATGATTATGGTTACTTCCCCTGGATTATATTTAAATATTAACTCCCTTTATGACTAGCCAGTTCTTTATTGTTATTTGTCTTGTTTTTGGCGAGACGGTAAGTTACATATATTAACACCCCGTTAACAATTAAAATAGTTTATTTTTAGATGTGTTTTACAATGTGTTCAGAAAATATTAGTAGCCAATTCATTAAAATTAAAAATCACTAATTAAAAAAAATAACGTATTTAAAAATGTGCAATGTGTATGGAATTATAGCTAGAATAAATGTATGAAAAAATTATATTTTTTTTTTAACTAAAAAAAAATTCTATGGGCAAGAGAAATGTACGAATATGGTAATCTTTATACCACTGCATCGAGCTGGAGAGGTTATAAAATCATAAAGAACCATAACTCCGCGACTTGAGCCAACGGAGTTACCCCGCTTTACAACAACACAGATTATCTCCAATTGTTGACACGATCGTGTCAATGGCGATCCCACGGGAAGAAGGGAAGGGGGGGGGGGGTGAGACTTGTCAAGTTATTGCCACGGCATGTGGACACATCTAGACAAATTGTCCGAGTATTGGACGGACATCAGTGGCCAGTGTTGACGACTTCCGGTGTGGACCTACTTTAACAAATGGTCGTCTGCTGGTACACGTGGTGGTGACCTCGTGACCACGGCCATGACACGCTGGTTAAGCAACATACGGAAGATAAGCTGCCAGGCATGTGGAACATCATTTGCATAATTGATTAATTAAGGAGGAATTTACAGGAATATTTTCAACAGTGGCAGACCATTATTAAAAATAAAAATGTTAGTATGCCTCTCAACCCCCCCCCCCCCCCCCACCCCCGCCCCATACTTAAAGGCACTTTTACAAAATGCAGTTTAGGGCAGATGAAGTAGAGCGAATCAGTTTCAATGGCCTGGTCACTAGACGGTTCAGACACGCGCCATCTTGACTCTCCCCAATTCACGCCAGGTACCCAATTCAGCTGAGTCATCCCGTGACATCACTCAGACTAACCACTCGACAACTCCACTCATTGTAATTACCGCTGAGTGGTGTCATAATTTTCTAATTTGTTCATAATTTGTTTTACTGTAATTTTATCCGGCTAGGGTTAGTACCAAACACTAGGCATTAAGTGTAAAGCTGTTTTTCTCATTTTGATTAAATACACACATAATTATCTTATGTCTGAAACTATCAGCAGATTGATTGTTTTTGGACATTTATTTCAATTATATATATATATATATATATATATATATATATATATATATATATATATATATATATATATATATACGGGTTGGAGGGATGGGTGAGGGGAGCTTTGAAAATTACTTGTATATACAATCAATAAGAAACGTGTACTTATATTAGGCCGTATTATGCTCAATAATTGTTTATAAGTCACTGCCTTGCCTTCACAAATAACTTAATTTTTTTAAAAATAAAATTTGAATGATATTAAATCAGTACTTATATTTCGTTCACAGACGCCTTTTAAAAAAATCAATAAATTAAACACAAATATTAATAATAAAAAATGCAAGCACATAGCACGTGCACATACATCCACACATTCAATACTGATGAAACAAAACGAACAACCTAACACTGATCAAAACAGATAACTCTTTAAAAAAACTTACTTCATCAGGGGCGAGCACCCGTCCCTAGCCCGCTCGCAGACAGACCTGCAGGCCGGCAGATGCTTCTTGTAGTTCTCCATACAGATGGGCGCGTACATGCTGCACAGGAAGAACTTGAGGTCGGGGGAGCACTGGATCTCCACCAGGGGCCAGAACTGGTGCACCTCCAGTCCAGACTCCTCCTGCGTGTCGTGGTTGAACTGGTTCGGCATGTACGTCATGTTGTACCCGATGCCTTTACACATGGGGATCGTGATCTCCTGGCACTTCCGGTTGTCGCTGCCAGCCGTCTGGGCCAGCTGGAGGCTCACGATGAAAATAGATGTGAGGAAGAGGAAAGAGTTGAGCCCGGAGAGGAAATGGGTGGACATTTTTATTTCTTTTACATGCAGGTTATCCGTCATGTGTGATTTATTTGTGACGATGCTAACAGTGACGAATGTGGTTGTGATGCAGCTGTTACGATGTGATGTAACAGAGATGATATAGTTGTGACATAAACGTTACAAAGCACGCTGTGACGTTTCTATAACGTTCCTATATTGACCTTTCCTTTGCGATGATAGCTATGACGTAGCGATGATAGCTGTGACGTAGCTGAGTTTCACGTACAAACTCCAGAATTCAAGACTCCGCTAAACAACGTGAGTATACACAAGGCGTCTCAATACTCAGAGACCATCCAACTAAAGACTCGAACCGAACACATCAGGGAATCAGGGGGTGGCGCTACGTGTCCTGCGAGGGGCGACTGGTGCCGTGTTTGTATCTCATCTTGCTGGGCTACACCTGTCTAGAACCTAAAGGTGAGACGCCAACAAGGTGCCAGGGATTAGTCCGAAAACCTCGGAGAATTTCACCGCTTCATTTTAGGCGCTTCCTCTTACCATATACTTGGTAGTTGCTTTCTCTATCCAATGGAAATTATCTGTTGAACAAAGATAATAGAATTAGTTATGAAGGTTTATATATTTTTGGATTTAGTGAAAAAATTAATAAAATTACATTAGAATGCATAAAAAATCAATTGTTAAATAATACTTAGAGTTCAAAAATCTAAGAGTATATCTTGTTTGCGGAACACAGTTCATAACCTATATTTAGAATTCCTAACAATTTTGTGTTGTGAATTAATAGTTTGTGATCTACATTTAGTGTTGAATCTAAAGGTCGTTTCTTTAATCTAAATCAAAGCTTTGTGAATCTCAAGTTCGTCTGTAATCTTAGTTTAAAGTTTGTAATCTAAATTTAGAGATCAAAGCTCAATCAAACGTAATAAGTGTAACTAATCAAATCGCCATAGAACTAGTTATTTGAACATACATTTACGATTTATTATCTACATTAGCTGTAGTGTAATCGGCGGCGGATGAGGGTGGGGGTGGGTGGGTAGGTGGGGGTTTAAAGGGAGGGATTGGACAGAAGACGAACACACAAAATAGCGTGTCTTGACAACAAGCTCTCTTGTAGCATTGAAATCTCAATCAAGGTGGATTAGAGACTGATTAAGTGTAGGTGACTTTTTGTTAGTTATGCTGAGACCCAAAGTTTTATTGAAGTCTCAGTGGCCAAGGGGGAGAATCAATGACCTCGATTATCTCCCTTCATTAATCCCCCTTTGGTCTAGGCCTAGTCTAACACAAACGACTGTCGATTATTTAAAAATAAATAGGTTGGGTAGATTTCAACACCAGGTAGTAAGGTTGAGAGGTAGCCTACTGTGGTCAGTCGTTGAATCGTAACGTTCGATTAGTTTAAGGTGATGGGTGTCTCAATAGTTGCGAGAGAGTTTAACGTTAGTGGATTAACCTGTCTGGGAAGATTAAAGGATTAACTTATCTAAGATGTTTCATCGATTAACCAGTTTGAGAAATGTAATGGATTAAACAGTTTGGGAAGTTTAAATGGATTAAACCGTTTTGGGAGGTTTAATGGATTAAACCGTTTCGGAGCCAGTTTGCAAGTTAGGCTTATAAGACAGGTTTGTAAGTCGTATTTGTAGTTTGTAAATCAAGTGTGAAAGTCGTATTTCTAGTTTATAAATCAAGTTTGCAAGTCGTGTTTGTAGTTTATAAATCAAGTTTGTAAGTCGTGTTTGTAGTTTATAAATTAAGTTTGTAAGTTGTGTTTGTAGTTTATAAATCACGATTGTAAGTCGTGTTTGTAGTTTATAAATCAAGTTTGTAACTCGTGTTTGTAGTTTATAAATCATGTTTGTAATTAAGGTTTGTAATAAGTATATGCTACTGCAGGATTAAAAAATATCTGACACTAGTCTTTATACATTTTAAAATAAATAGCCATAATCTAAAAGCATTTTTATGAAAATCTAAAAAAAAAAAACTGTCGTCTATAGAAAAACCAAAATTTCTTCATTAAGCTACTAACAACAACATGATCTGAATCATGCAAGTAGCTCTGATAGAAAAAAATAAACGTAATGACAAAGAAAGTAACAATATAAATTAACTGTCTTCTTAAGTCAAGCGCTACATCTAACAGATATAGTGCACAGTGGGAGACGGTTCAGAAATCTGGTTACCAATGGTTACGAGTGGTTACGAATGTTACGGTTCCAGGGATTAGTCGAAAAGCTGAGCGTTTGGTTAGAGAGGAGGCAGGCGCCTGAACAGATGGCGGGGGCTTAACTCGGTGCCTCGTGCTTCAGGCTCGGTCTAAGATTTCCTGGGATGTGTACCAGTGGTACTTGGGCCTAAATTTGCCACTTTCGTATAACTTTAAACACCATGGTTTATTTAAAAAACAAAACAAAACCAACACTGTTTAAACTTTAGGCAGTACCATTTTCGGAGAAATTTAAAAAAAAAGTTAGCCACTTTTTTGGTATAGCTTCGTGCAATACTGACGAGGGGGTGGGATTGGGTGGGATGATTAAACAGTAACATAAAGTCGTGTGACGTGTTTTAAAAAAAATTATGTTAACATTTGTATATGTCTTAATTTGGGTTAACTATCTAATTGTGGAATGTAATGATAGTGGTCCAGCTTTAGAGTACTTACATTGGGTGCAACGGTTTCAAGGGTTTAGTGGTTTATAGCGGGGAAAACAATTGTTGGCAAACTTCTAGACAACATTATTCGTAGAAACCAACTTGGAATTTGCATTTATTAATATAGACTATCTTCAAAATAATCAGGTTTTTTTTAATTTAGAAAATTTGTTTTTTATACTTATTTTCAGGGGCGTAGCGAGGGGGGGGGGCGGGGGGTGCGGACCGCAACGGGTGACACCATTTAGGGGGGTGACACCAAGGCAAAAAAATAGCAAAATATATAGAGAGAAACTTGAGAGAGGGGGGTGCAAATCGAAAACTTGAGAGGGGGGGGGGGGTGCAAATCGAAAATTTGAGAGGGGGGGTGCAAATCGAAAATTTGAAAGTTTGTGCCCGGGAAGGTTCGCTACGCCTCTGGGGTGGGTGACACCATTAAGTGCCGCACCGGGTGACACCCGACCTCGCTACGCCACTGCTTATTTTAGTCTGTTTCTGTCTTGTAAACAAGATAATAATTTAAAAAAAATTAAAACAGAAAAATCTAGGCGCCATCCCAACACGTTTTTTTTTAAATACAACTTATTGTTTATTATTTTATTATTTTTAAAATAAAGCTCGTATTACTAGTTTCTACTACAGAGATATGTTGGTGATCCAACAATTTTTAAACTAAGAAAAAAAAATAGCAACTTCTGATAAGGGTATAGAGTTAGAATAACTGATATCTTACAACATTACACACGTTATTTTATACTGATCTACGGCTACAGAACATAAGAAGTATTTAAGTATATTTTATTGCTGTCTTTTTTTCGTGTAGCCTATATAGGTTGTACATTTTTGTAGAACTTAAGCCGCATAGGCTAGCACAGGGCCTAGGGAAGCGAAATATGGAACGTGTGTTATGTTTTTTTTAAAAGAAAGTAATTGCAAGTAACTGACAAAAATAAAGTAAAAATAATGTTTTTTTTCAATAAAAAAAAAAGAAACATCTTTAAGCTTTAACGGTTTACGGTATTTAAATATACATGCTATGGTGTATTAACTATACTAAATATTTTTATGAAGTGACGAGGGATTAGCGGAGAAATTTTATAGTCCATAAATCGACAGAAGAAAAAAAAAAAAGCTTGCTGTAACGTTTGTATAAGGTGAACGCGCTCGTAAAGAAATCCATGAATGAATGGGCTCGGCGCGGCCGCGACCAGCAATTAATTCATCGCCTATGTGATCTGTGCGTTCATGTGTCGCCGCGCGGTGAATGTGTGTGTGTTGGGGTAGGTTCCACCTCAGTGACTTCTCGATGGGTTACTTCGCGGGCTGCTAGGCACATCGATGTTTGGAGAGTAGGGGGGGAGGAGTTGCTGAAAGGGGTGTTAGTGCCACGTTCGACGTGATTATTGATTGCACGTGATCTGACATTAGTCGCCGCTGTCACGGTGAAGACAGAGACATGATGTAAAGACAGAATTGATGTGTCTTAGTTGATAGTCTATGGTTGAGTCAAGACATTTTTGATGGGTCTTAGTTGATAGTCTAGGGTTGAGTCAAGACATTTTTGATGGGTCTTAGTTGATAGTCTAGGGTTGAGTCAAGACATTTTTGATGGGTCTTAATTGACAGTTTATGGCTGAGTGAAGATATGGTTGGGCTGTCACATAGTTATATGTGTGCGAGTATCCTTGTTATGTGTAGGTCATCGTCCATGTTATGTTTAGGTCAGTGTCCGTGTTATGTTTAGGTCAGTGTCCCTGTTATGTTTAGGTCAGTGTCCATGTTATGTTTAGGTCAGTGTCCATGTTATGTTTAGGTCATCGTCCCTGTTATGTGTAGGTCATCGTCCCTGTTATGTTTAGGTCAGTGTCCATGTTATGTTTAGGTCAGTGTCCATGTTATGTTTAGGTCATCGTCCCTGTTATGTTTAGGTCAGTGTCCATGTTATGTTTAGGTCAGTGTCCATGTTATGTTTAGGTCATCGTCCCTGTTATGTGTAGGTCATCGTCCATGTTATGTGTAGGTCAGTGTCCATGTTATGTGAACGATATCATCCTTGCTCTATATATGTGTGAATGTGTGGGTTGTGGTGGATAGTGCGGTAGGAAGGGGGTTCTATTTGCTATATTTGTAAATGTGTGGGGAATCTATTTGGCATGTGTGTGGGTGTAGCAGGGATCTATTTGCACTATCAGTGTGAGTGTGTATGTGTGTGTGTGGGAGTGGAGGATATATATCTGCTGTGTTTTTGTATTCTAAATTCAGAGATGATAAAACAAAGAATTGTATACATGCCAGATACGTCTGGTTGTAATTCTCACTCCACTACATATCCGTGTTACATCTCAATTACACATCCGTGTTACATCTCCATTACATGAGCTTGATATATCAATGTACACACTTGATAAAGAACGTTTACACAACACACGTGTACACACACGTTTCGAACAAATGTACAACTATACTGCCTTAAAGGGTGTAGACATAAATGTGTACAAATACGCTTTACACGATGTATGTAAACATATAAACACACGTGCACATATGTGTAGACATATACATATCTATAATATACACACAAAACTTGTAAACATAAGGGAGCATTTCCATATTTTTTTCCAATTGTACACATCAACATGTACACTTAGTCCATCTGTGTACACGAGTGTGTACAACATGTACACATAGTCCGTCTGTGTACACGAGTGTGTACAACATGTGTACAGCCCTCGACGACCTCTTGCACACACCCACTCCAGTTGACGTCACTTAATCGCGAGATTAGTGGATTAGACAAAAATGAGTTTCCTGTGTCAAAAGCCAGTCGGGTATTTAATTACCCCCCCCCCCCCACACACACCGCACACACACACATCACAACACTGCCCCCACGACCCCTCTCTCCACACACACTCCA